TCACCTCCTACCTCTCCCTTCCCACCTCTCACCCTTCCACACCTCTTACCTTCCTCACCCTTCCCCACCTCTCACCTCTTCCCACCTCTTACCTTCCCTCCCCCCACACTCACCTTCCACACACCTCTTACCTTCCCTCCCCCTTTCCCACACCTCTCACCTTCCCTCACCCCACAGGTCTACAAAGGTTCCACCTTTCCGTTCATCTTTTCAAATTTCATCAAAATGTGCTGACAATAGTGACTGACGGCGGCAGATGTGGCGTCAGCATCACGGCACTATCTGCCTCACCTTTTGCTACTGCTCTCTCTCTCTCTCTGTCGCGTTATCCACTACCAACCTACTACCACTTGTGTCTGTCTGTCTGTCTGTCTGTCTGTCTGTCTGACTGTCTGTCTGACTGTCTGTTCAACAAGCTTTTCCTCTTTATTTTCTTTCATTTATACCTACATGTATGTATGTAGGTATGTATGTGTGTGGGTATGTATGTGTGTATGTATGTATATACTGTATGTATGTGTCAACGCTCCATGAACATAGTCTAGTCTTTAGTAAATAAAAATAAATAAGCAGGGTGGTCAAATCTACAGGTGACAACAAACATGAACCTCACAATAGAGACCAAAATTATGAAAGCCCTCCTCCTTACTGACTCTACCTTCACCACCTGTGCCTCAACCTCCTGGCAACCTAACCCTTCTTGCACTGCCTCACTCCTTCTTCAACCTAACCTACCTTCACCACCAAGTACCTCAACACTCTAGCAACTAACTAACCTACCTTCACCACCTATTGCCTCAACACTCTGCTTCTTACTAACCTAACCTGCTTCACCTGTAACCTCAACACTCTAAGCCTAACTCTAACTTCTAACTAACCTAAACCCAACCTAACCTACCATCACCACCTGTACCTCAACACTCTAACCTAACCTAACCTAACCAAGCATAGTGAGAAAAAAGTGTATAAATAAAGAGAATAATTGGAAGGTTTTGGAAGTATGAGAGAAGCTGACAGTATTTACATGCTAAACGTCGCGTGGCTGAAGCTTTCTAAATGTCAAATTAATAGAATATGTATGAAAATACATTATGGATGTGAACGGCGGCGGTACAGGGGAACAGGGGTGTGACAGGAGGTAAGAGTGTGAGCAGGGAGTAGAGGTGTGACAGGAGGTGGGGGGAATTGTGTTAGGGAGGAAGGTGTGACAGGAGGAAGGGGGTGTGACAGGGAGGCAAGGTGTGACAGGAGGTAAGGGTGTGACAGGAGGTAGAGGGGTGTGGCAGGGAGGTAGAGTGTGTGACAGGGGAGAAGTGTGACAGGGAGAGTAGAGGGGTGTGACAGGGAGGTAAGGGTGTGTGACAGGAGGTAAGAGTGTGTGACAGGGAGGGGGTGTGACAGGGAGGAGGGTGTGACAGGGAGGGGGGTGTGACAGGGAGAGTAGGGGTGTGACAGAGAGTAGGTGTGTGACAGGGAGGAAGAGAGTGTGTGACAGAGTGAGGTGTGACAGGAGAGTAGGGGGTGTGACAGGGAGGTAAGGGGTGTGACAGGGAAATGGGGGTGTGACAAGGAGGCAGGTGATGTGACAGGGAGGTAAGGGGTGTGACAGGGAGAAGAGTGTGATGAGAGAAGGGGTGCTGGGGAGGAAGGGTTGTGTGACAGGGGAGGTAGGGGGTGTGACAGGGAGGTAAGGAGTGTGACAGAGGCAGGTGATGTGACTGACAGAGAGTGAGGGAGAGAGTGTTTTATGTTCAGTCGTTTTCCTCAGAGATATAAAGTCGCTCATATTTTTCCATAGGTGCTACTTGATCTCTCTCTCTCTCTCTCTCTCTCTCTCTCTCTCTCTCTCTCTCGGATCAAAATGGCGTCAAATTTACACCGGGACTCCTATATCTGCCTTCCCCTCCTCTCTTCCCGTTCCCCCACTCCTCCTCAATTTCCCCCCACTCTTCCTCTCCTCCCTCTCCCTATTCCTCCTCCTATTCCCTCATCTCACTTCCCTCACCCTCACCACACTCTTCAATCTACTGAGGCGTATCTTTGTGAATCTGGGTTACGCCTCCGCCTACATTCTCAAGCTCCTGTCGACCCAGCTGGGGACGTGAGGTGGGGGGCGGAGGTGGGGAGGAGGAGGTGGGAGGAGGAGGAGGGTGGGAGGAGGAGGTGGTGGGGGTGTGGGTAGTGCTGTGTATGCAAACACTAAGTTACTGCATGCAATAATCCTTGCTGTCACACCCCCCCCCCTCGTTCTTACCCCTCCACCACCACCACCACCACCACCCAACCTGAGAACTGTGGAGCGCAGTTGGTGGTGGTGGTAGTGTGTGTGTGTGTGTGTGTGTGTGTGTGTGTGTGTGTGTGTGTGTGTGTGTGTGTGTGTGTGTGACCTCTGACCTCTACAACTCAACTCTCTAAGATCCTGTGACCCTATCAGATCATCATATTCGTGACCTTTGACCCCATGATACCTCATATACGCGTCAGTCATTCCCCCATAACTTACCACTCCCTGCGAGCCCTTGACCTCCCACAGGTGACGGACACTATACTTATGTACCTGGTATTAATTTTCCCCAGTCACTATACTAACATGTATCACCACAGCCACACAGCGGTCACCTGTTGAGGGTGGTGGGCCCTGACTCACTCCTCATTGTTTATAAAAAATACAATAAACTTAATTAATATCAAATATTATATCAAATTAATATACGCTAAGAAGACATAATAACATCAATAATAATAATAATAATAATAATAATAATAATAATAATAATAATAATAATAATAATAATAATAACGAAATAACTAGAACAAATGGCTAAATTAGATAAATTCCGATTCAGAAAAGATATAGGCAAGCACTGGTTTGGTAATAGAGTTGTGGATATGGAATAGGCTACCGAGTGCTATAGTAGGATCGGGACGCTAGGGAGCTTCAAGACGAGTTGGATAGGCACATGGAAGTGCTGGGATGGTGTGAAAGGATCTGCCCTGTATGGGCCAGTCGGCCTCCTGCAGTATCCCACTTTCTTATGTTCTTATGTAATAATAATAATAATCCAATTCAGCCTCAGTACAGCACCACCTCACAGAGAGAGCTGAGAACCACCACTAATACATCCTCCTGACGTCCCAGCACCAACCATCATCTTTAACTGCTGATGAATCCTAGTTGCCTCTCTCACTCTCTGGGACTCTGGGATACTCTGGGACTCTAATACAGTCTAGTTTCCACTGGCTCTAAGGTTCGTTCACTGACTAGAATATGGGAGGGACTTATCTAAACACAATGTCACAAATGTCAAAAAATGAGAATACTATAAAACCCATAAGCTAGATACAGTCACTTAGGAACCATCGGAGTTTTTGTGTTTAGTAGCTTTGTCCCGTCTGTGTGTACACCTGAGACCTTACCTGGTTAGTGTAGGTGTTCTGATGTATACAGGTGTACCTATATTATTGTTGTGTTTGTGGTGTAGTTCGAATTTATTTTGAAACTGGTGGTATTTTAAAGATGAACCCTTAAAGACGAATCCTTGGATATGAATCCTTAAAGGTGAATCCTTAAAGACGACTCATAAAGATGAATCCATAAAGATGAATCATAAGACGAATCATAAGATGAATCATCAAAGATGAATCTTAAAGACGAATCATAGGGATGAATCCTTAAAGATGAATCCATGGATATGAATCCATAAAGATGAATCCTTAAAGACGACTCCTCAAAGATGAATCCTTAAAGATGAATCCATGGATATGAATCCATTAAGGTGAACCCTTTAAGACGAATCATAACGACGACCCCTTCAAGACTTCCACAAGACGACCCTCTTAATATGACCACTGTGCCTCAAGACAACTCCTTGAAAATGATCCCTCTGAAGACGACCATTTCACCACGACCCTTTCAGACGACCCACACACCTCCAGGGGGAAGAGTCGTTCGTCCTTAAAATATGTGTTATTGGTTTTCTCTTTTGCTCGTCTCCCAAGTTGTTCTCACTCATTCATCTTGTGACTCCCCGCTGACAGTCTCCCCACTCCCACTTAGCTCCCTACCCCCACTCTCCTTCACCCCAGCTACCTCTCCGCTTCTTCCCTCCTCCTCTCCTCAGTTATTCTTCTGCCTCTCCCAGCCATCTCTCGCCTCTCCCCCCCCACCCTTCGCTTCTTACCAGTCACCTCTCCCCCTTTCCACCACCTCATCTCCCACTGCTGTATACGCCCCACCTGCCTCCCAAGCTTCCCTCCCCTACTCCCCGGGTGCTGCATACTCCCCACCTTTCCTCCCTAATCCCTAGGTAGCATACTCCCCACTTGCCTCCACCGCCTCCCCTCACCTACCTTACTTCCCCATCTTCCCCTCCCAAACTCCCCATTTGCCTCCCCAGCTCCTTCTACTCCCCCGGTGTTATATACTCCCCACCTCCAGTACCATGACAATATCTGGCTCGAAAAGGACATTTCCGGCTCCATCACGACACCCACCCGGTTCGAACGCGACAAGAATCCGGCTCCAATACGATGATATCCGGCTGGTACAATGATACCCAGGTCGGAAAGGACAATACCAGATTTAAACACGATGATATCCGGCTCGAAACACAACAGCATCCGGCTTTGAGTACCATTATTATCAAACCTCAAAATAACAATACCAATTACGAACCCACCAAAAATATATCCCCCCTTCCTCCCCTAATGTATACAAATAATTACCCCATGGGACCCCCTCCTCTACCATCAGCCAGTCCATTTATATTAATTACCTTAATTACCGATAGTCATTAAGCCGGCACCCGGAGTGGCCGCTCCGCTAATCCGGGGTTCGAACCCAGCACTCGTGTTCAATTATAAATACTGTGACAGGAGAACGTGACTTCATTATGGAGGAAAATAATTGGAAAAATAATGGGGTATGTCGCTTTACTGTTTGACTGGCAGGTGACTGGCTGCTGGTGACTGGTGACTGGCTGGGGCTGGTGACTGGCTGCTCAGGCTTGTGACTGGCTGCTCGGGCTTGTGACTGGCTGCTGGTGACTGGCTGCTGGTGACTGGTGACTGGCTGCTCGGGCTTGTGACTGGCTGCTGGTGACTGGTGACTGGCTGCTGGGGCTGGTGACTGGCTGCTCGGGCTTGTGACTGGCTGCTGGTGACTGGTGACTGGCTGCTGGGGCTGGTGACTGGTGACTGGCTGCTGGGGCTGGTGACTGGCTGCTGGGGCTGGTGACTGGCTGCTGGTGACTGGTGACTGGCTGCTGGGGCTGGTGACTGGCTGCTGGGGCTGGTGACTGGCTGCTGGGGCTGGTGACTGGCTGCTGGGGCTGGTGACTGGCTGCTGGGGCTGGTGACTGGCTGCTGGGGCTGGTGACTGGCTGCTGGTGACTGGTGACTGGCTGCTGGGGCTGGTGACTGGCTGCTGGGGCTGGTGACTGGCTGCTGGGGCTGGTGACTGGCTGCTGGGGCTGGTGACTGGCTGCTGGGGCTGGTGACTGGCTGCTGGGGCTGGTGACTGGCTGCTGGTGACTGGTGACTGGCTGCTGGTGACTGGTGACTGGCTGCTGGGCTGGTGACTGGCTGCTGGTGACTGGTGACTGGCTGCTGGTGACTGGTGACTGGCTGCTGGGGCTGGTGGCTGGTGGGGTTAGTGACTGGCTGCTGGTGACTGTTGGGGCTGGTGACTGACTGTTGGGGCTGGTGACTGACTGGTTGGGGCTGGTGACTGGCTGCTGGGGCTGGTGACTGGCTGCTGGGGCTGGTGACTGGCTGCTGGGGCCAGTGACTGGCTGCTGGGGCTGGTGACTGGCTGCTGGGGCTGGTGACTGGCTGCTGGTGATGGCTGCTGGTGACTGGTGACTGACTGCTGGGGCTGGTGACTGGCTGCTGGTGACTGACTGTTGGGGCTGGTGACTGGCTGCTGGGGCTAGTGACTGGCTGCTGGTGACTGACTGTTGGAGCTAGTGATTGGTACACAGTCTGTTCAGTTATACCTACAGTCAGAGGTTCAGTTATACCTACAGTCAGAGGTTCAGTTATACCTACAGTCACTTATACAGTTACAGCCACACAGTTACCACTCAAACCTCACAATCATCAAGCAGTCATAAAGAAAAAGTTACAAAACGACAGGTACAGTCACCAACAGTCTAACGTCTATACACCCTTACATGTCAAAGCTATTAAAGATACAGTTAAAGGTCAGTTACAGTCATATCTAGTAATACAGTCACTTAATTCACCCCATTCATCTCTATGCTTACAAGAAACTTATGCGACGCCTATGATTGGCCGGTGTTTGTTTACATATTTTCTCTCGTGAGTTTATGAATGGCCACTACAATCCTACCAGAGACGTCCCGGAAGCCTGTGATTGGCCGGTGTTTGTTTACATATTTTCTCTCGTGAGTTTATGAATGGCCACTACAATCCTACCAGAGACGTCACGGAAGCCTATGATTGGCCGGTGTTTGTTTACATATTTTCTCTCGTGAGTTTATGAATGGCCACTACAATCCTACAGAGAACGTCCCGGAAGCCTATGATTGGCCGGTGTTTGTTTACATATTTTCTCTCGTAAGTTTATGAATGGTCTAATCCTACGAGACGTCACGGAAGCCTGTGATTTTTGTGTTTGTGGACTACAATCCTACCAGAGACGTCACGAAGCCTGTGATTGGCCGGCGTTTGTTTAATATTTTCTCTCGTGAGTTTTGTGCCGGTGTTTGTTTACATATTTTCTCTCGTGAGTTTATGAATGGCCACTACAATCCTACCAGAGACGTCACGGAAGCCTATGATTGGCCGGTGTATTTTCTCTCACAAGTTTCCATAGTATATTACACCTCCCCATTACACGTTTATGAATGGGTACTATATATGTTTACATCCTACCATTACCGTAACTTATGAATGGGCATTACGCACTTACTACCATAAATCCCCAGAGTTAATGAATGGTTTCTACTATATTGAGACATAACTTACCGTACAAACAGCTTATTCTTTGCCATGTTGACATATCACTGATGAAGTTTATGAAGGCTGGTTAATGTTTTTGTATGTCACTGAGTTTTATGAACGGGTATTACGTGTTTACAAATCGCTGGACTTTAATTTACGACAGGTGAGCGTGTTTATGTTTGATTATGGGGTTGAATTGCTTCTCTCTCTCTCTCTCTCTCTCTCTCTCTCTCTCTCTCTCTCTCCTATCTGCCTCCCTCCTTTTTCCCTCTTCCTCGTCAGTGCCTGCCTACCTCCCTCTTCCTATCTTTCCTCCTCATTGGCTCTCTCCCTTCTTCATTTCATCTCCTTTGTGTTTTCCCTCCCCTTTCCCTTCCCTCTTTCCTCCCTCCACTGGTTTTCTCCCCTTCCCCTTCCCTTCCTTCCTCCCTTTTCCTCATCTCTCATCCACCATTCCTCCCATTACTCAGTCTTCCTATTTCCTTCTTCCTTCTCCTTTAGTCTTCCTCCTTTTCTCCCTTTCTCATCTCCCCTGCCCTCTTCCCCTTCTCTCCTCCCTCCCGTCCTCTCTCAGTCTTTTCATTCATCCCACCTCCCTGAATCTCTTTCCTCTCTTTCCCTCCTTCCCTCAGTCTCCCCTCAGCTCCCCCCCGCCCTCAGTCTACTCCCCCCCCCCCCTCCCTCCAATCTCCAGGTAGTGATCCATCTTCACGAGGGACGATGCGGCACAGGTAAGGTCAGGTATGCCAGCTTCTCTTCCACCTTTGTTGCTGTAATGTGTAGGCTCTCTCACCGGCGACCCACGCACACCAAGTCAAACACGCCCATCACCATGTTCCTCACGCCCACAACCATGTCCCCCACGCCAACAACCATATCTCCCACGCCAACAACCATATCTCCCACGCCCACAACCATGTCCCTCACGCCAAAACCATGTCCCCACGCCAACAACCTTATATCTCCACGCCCACTACTACTATGTCCCCACGCCCACTACTATGTCTCCCGCACACTACCATGTCTCCCACGCCCACTACCATGTCCCACACGCCGCCACGCCCACACCTACGTCGATGCATGCTAACTACATCAAACCAAACAGCCACACCCGCATATCACACACTATCCCCAACCACAAAACCACACCACCACAACCAAACCCTCCACAGCATCACCTAACCTTATCACCACCACAACCACACTACCACTAAACCACACCACCCCCACAACCACACTACCCCACAGCCACACTACCCCACAACCACACCACCCCCACACAACCAAACCCCCTCCACAAGCATCCACCTAACTCATTCACACCACAACCACACCACTGCAAACCCCACCACCACCACCACACACCACCCCCACAACCAATACTACCCCACAACCACACCGCCCCACAACCACACCCCCCCACAACCACCACCCCCCACAACCACACACCCCAACCACACCACCCCCCACAGCCACACCCCTCCACAGGCATTCACCTAGCCTTAACACCACCACAGCCACTCGCCACCACAACCGCACCACCACCAAACCACACCCCCCCCACAACACACTACCCCACAGCCACACTACCCCCCACACCACACCACCCCACACACCACACTCACAATTCCCCAAAACCACCACCCCCACAGCCACACCACCCCACAACCATTTCCAACTCCCACAGCCACACCCTCCACAAGGCATTCACCTAACCTTATCACCACCACAACCACACCTGCAAACCGCACCACCCACCAAACTGCACCACCACCAAAGCCACACCACCCCTCACAACCACTACCCCCCACAACCACACACCCTCCACAAGCATTCACCTAACCTTATCACCACCACAACCACACCCCTCCACAAGCATTCACCCTACATCACACCACCCCACAACCACACTACCCCAAACCACACCACCTTCCCCACATGCACTACCCCCACAACCACACACCCCTCCTGAAGCGTTCACCTAACCTTATCACCACAACCACACCCCTCACAAGCATTCACCTAACCTTATCACACACAGCACACTTTACAACCACACCACCCCCACCCAACCTGCAGTCCCCACAACCACCACCCCCAGACCACACCACCACCAAACCCACCACCACCAAACCACACCACCCCCCCACAGAGCCACACCACCCCCACAACCACACCACCCCCAACACACCACCCCCAACCACACCACCACCACAACCACACACACCACCCCCACAACCACCAGCTTAAATAAGATAAAAGCTTATACCCAACACATTATATATTATCTTACTCAAATTAAAATCTTAAAAAAAAAGGTAAAATATCTTCCGTCAATGCGAGAGATTAGTCAAAAAAAATTCTCTTAACTCGGCCAGATTAAGACGAATTCTTTAAGCACTTGAGCGGGACTTAAGACTCAAGCTTGGGCAAAATCCTAAGATCTTTTCTCCAAGTTGGTTAAAACTCTTAAGATGAAGCGATCTTTTGTTACGTCCATTTATGAAGAGTGTTGACGTTGGCCTCTTGCCTGTTCTTCCTCTTCCCTTTTCTCTCTCTCTCCTTCTTCATCTCATCGTTGTCTTTTATCCCTCTGTGTTTTCCTTCCATTTACCCTTCATCTAATCTTCCTTACACCTGTTCCCCCACCTACGTTACCTGTTGTTACCTTGTGCTGAATGGTAATTAACGTCTATGTTAGTGTGATGGGGGGGGAGATAGAGATATCCATTGTTTAACATACATACATACTGTACATACATACACGTTATTTGTCCCCACAAAAATATTAGTCTGTATATGTGTATTATACTACAAGTGTATTTGCATAAATTATTCTAATATAATTGGTAAAGTGGATTACGATATTTTTCTCTCTCTCTCTCTCTCTCTCTCTCTCTCTATGTAACATCAATAATCACTTGACGCAATGCTGATGCCGCACTCACGCACTCCTCCTCAACACCTTCGCATTCCTCCTCAACATTACGACTTCACGCACTCCTCTCAACCTGCGCTCCTCCTCAACATCACGCGCCCCTCTCAACACCACGCCTCATGCCTCTCACTCAGCAGCACGCACTCCGCCTTCCTCTCCATCAGCCGTTCGCTTTTGGGGGGCACTCACGCATTCCTCACTCAACATCACGTGCACTCCTCTCACTCAACTTCACGCACCTTCGCACTCTTTACCTCCATCATCTTAGTCTTAATGTTCTTGTTTCCACACACACACACACACACACACACACACACCACACATAACACAAATACACACCAAACACATATATACAAATGTTGCCACAATGTATTCACAAATGTTCAATCTCAAGTATAAGAAAATATGAATAATAAAAGATAAACTAAAAAATGATAAATATGTAAAATAAACTAATTTATGAAGTACGTAGTGTTAACCGTAGGGAAGTCTGCCTGGTGCCCTTATATACCAGTGACGCTCAATACGTACGTAACGTTTTAGGTCTTGTATAAACGCTAATAAAAAAACAAATTAAGATTCTCAAGATGGTGAATGATTGTAAAATATCCGAAATTTATGACTGTTTATACGTTAATATGGTTCCTGTTGTTTAAAGTATTGATAACAGCATGTGAACCAGGACTACGAGTGAGACGTCAGGTGGCGCCATATGGGTCCAGCGGCCACCAGGAACTACCACCACCTCACGTCCAAACATAATTCTTCTGCATTTCTTTTTATAATCGTAATAAATTATATCTTATTATAGGTATTAATTCTTTTCTGTAAGACAACTTATAATCCAGCCTCTATATGTGGTCTTATGAGGCTCTATATCTGCTGATGTGACTACTGCCGCTACTCCTGCTTTTACTGACGGTTGCTGTTAATATACTGCTTGGTGTTGTTACTACTGCTTGGTTGTGTTTTTTGTTTGGTTGTTGTTTTTGTTGTGTTTGTGGTTGTTTTCAATCTGCACTGCCAGGTTTTCTTCACTGCTCAGCGTCTGCTGTTACTACTATGCTATAAAGTCTATGTTTCTATACACTGTCTGGGTCTTTTTTTACTAGCTTCACTGCCCTGCGTCTGCTGTTACTACTACTGCTCCTGCGTCTGCTGTTACTACTACTGCTCCTGCGTCTGCTGTTACTACTACTGCTCCTGCGTCTGCTGTTACTACTACTGCTCCTGCGTCTGCTGTTACTACTACTGCTCCTGCGTCTGCTGTTACTACTACTGCTCCTGCGTCTGCTGTTCTAGTAAGATGTACAGCAGTGTTTGGTAGCCTCGGTGCTGGTAATGACAAGACCTGATGTTCACGGGGCTGTGTTCAAGGAAGACGAGGAGCTTATTTACACTCACCTAATAATTGCACTGTCTCTCATTCAATTAATTCATGATCGAGATTTAATTATATAATCAACCAATGCAATTCATCATATATCGAAGTCTTTATTATTTATATATAATTTAATCAATATCTCATAACATTCTTTAATCTATACAAATTAATCACATAATTACTCGTCTTAATAATATTTAATCAACAAAATTAATTAATTTTGATCACACAAAAAATTTAATTCTGTAGTAGATGTTTTTACCGCCTTGATACCACAATAAAGAGTTTACATCAGGATAACTTGTTTGTCTGACTATAATCACTGATTGTATCTACATAATAAATAAACGTGTGTGAGGGAGGGGTGAGGGGGGGGAGGGGTGGTGGTGAGGGGTGGTGGTGGTGAGGTAGTGGTGATAGTGAAGTAGATTAGTATTAGCAAAGCTCTCTCTCTCTCTCTCTCCAGCGAAACTCAACCATTCAACCCAAAATAAACCAAGAATTCACCCACACTGTCTCAATCGTTAACCTAACCTAACCTAAGTCCTCCTTCCACAACAAGCAGTAATCTCTCCCTTCCACAACAAAGCAGTAATCCTCCTCTCAACAAGCAGTAACCTCCCCAGAGCAGTAATCCCCTTCCACAACAAGCAGTAATTCTCCTTCCACAACAAGCAGTAATCCCTCCCTTCCACAAAAGCAGTATCCCCTTCCACAACAAGCAGTAA